AGAGAATGTCTGTCTGCCTACATCGTCCCTGAAGAACCATAGAGAGCCTCCTTTTTTTTTTTGGTGTTATTGAGTTGAACTCAGGGCCTTATGCTTGCTAGACAGCGTACTCTACCCCTTGAACCACTCCACCACTCCAACCTCCTTTCTTGTTAGTTTTATCATAGCTGTGACAAAATATGACACAAAAACAATGTAAAAGAGGAAGGGATTATTTTGGCTCACAGTTTCCAAGGGTTCAGTTCATGGTCACTGGACCCCATGCACTTGGGGAGAACATCATGATGGTGGGAGTGTGTGAGCTTCTTCACCTCATGACGGATAAGAAGCAGAGAAAGAGAAGGGAACTGGGGACCAGGTATAACCCAAAGTCTCTCCCCTAGTGAATCTTCCTCCAGCTAGGTCACCTACTAAAGTTTCCAGAACCTCTCAAAATTGCACCACCAGCCAGGGACCAAGCATTCAACATAAGCCCATGGAGGACATTTCAAATTCAAACCGTAACACCTGCATGAGAGCACATGAAAAGGGTCCCAGATTATAGACATGCTAACCATGCACCTTTTCTTCTGTTTAAACTGAACCTTGAAGAAGCCAGCAAAGCAAGAGGGAGGAGGGTTCTGAGAAAGAAGGTAGATCAAGAAGAGAAAGAGGAACTGGACTCTGGTACTTCATGCCTGTAATCCTAGCTACTCAGGATGCAGAGATTAAGAGGATCGCATTTCTAATCCAGCTTGGGCAAATAGTTCGCAAAACCCTTGTCTTGAAAAAAATCCATCGCAAAAAAGGGCTGGTGGAGTGGCTCAAATGGTAGAGCACTGAGATATTGCCAAAAGAGAAAGAGAGAGAGGGCTGGGGTGTAGTTCAGTGATGGAGCACTTCTCTAGCTCTTAAGAGGGCCTGAGTTCAATACCTAGCACTGCAAAAGAAAAAGAAAAAGGAAGAGAAAGACCCCTCTCTCCCTTATTCACTTTAAGTTAGGTGTGATGCTGAATTATGCTGGATTCTTTTTATACCTGAAAATGAGACTATTTTTGTGGCTGAAAATGGCCAAAAAGCTATTTGACCCTCCTGAGCATAACTGAAAACAGTGATAAAAGAAAGAGAGCTTGCTGATGTAATTCTTCATGTCTAACCACTCCAAGGAACTGGCAAAACTATTAAAATTTTAAAGACATATATTCTAGGACACATAAACTCTACCACTCAGTATCCACTTCAGACATACCCTTGCACATGTACACAGAGAGGCACGTACCAGGATATAAATTGCAGCATTATTTGTAATCATAAAAAATTTGGGGGGGAAGAGCTAAGGACATAGCTCAGTGGTAGAGAGAGCTTGCATCACATGCACAAGGCCCTGAGTTCAATCCTCAGCACCACAAAACTATTATAAAAAATGGTAATTAATGAAGACATTGTAAAATTAGCAATAGTACATCCCGTACAGCGCAATACTACACAGCAGTTAAAAAGGACAAGACATAGCTGAGTGCCAGTGGCTCATGCCTATAATCCTAGCTACTTAAGAGGCTGAGATTGGGAGAACTGTGGTTTGAGCCCAGCCTGGGCAAATAGTTCTCGAGACTTCATCTCCAAATTATTCAAAGCAGAATGGGCTAGAGTTGTGGCTCAAGAGGTAAAGCCCCTGCATTTCAAGTGCACAGCCCTGAGTTCAAACCCCAGTCCCACCAAAAAAAAAAAAAAGGTACACTCTGTGTAGTAACATGGACAGATCTCCCAACTATATGGATGAATGAAAAAAGCATATTGCAAAATGATCTGTGGAATAATATGTTATACTCATGAAGAACATGAAAGTAGAAAGAAAACTGCAGTAGGAAGACAAACTCCAAACTCAGTTTTACCCAGTATACTCTCACAAGAGGCTTCTGACACCCCGTGGGAGATTTTTTCCCCACACACCAAGCAGGCAATACTGCAGCAGCAGCCACCAGTTGGGCATTCCTTAATCTAACTCAGTTCTGACACTTGCTACCTGGAGGCAGCATCAGATTCCATAGGATGAGGGCCCTGCCTCAAGGTTATCCCCCCTCAACTTCAGGTTCCCATCACCAGGGTTGTTTTACCTGTGGACCAGCTAGAAATCGGTGCCCTTGTGACTCCCTCCTTGAATCCTATTAAGTCCCTAGAGAGGCCCACAGGACTCAGGAAACACCTGTTTGTTATGCTGGTTTATTGTGAAGCCTATTGCAAGAGACACAGATGAAGAGGCGCATCTGGTGAGATGCAACTGGTGGGAAGGGCATGGAGCTTCCCTGCCCTCTCTGGGTTCCTCCCAGAACTTCCACCTGTTTGTCTATCCTGAAGCTCTCCAGTGTGACATGGGATCATTTCCCATGCCCAGCTCTAGCCAGGGCAATATTATGCAGAAAGTCTCCATCGTCCTCTTCTTTTGCCCTCCTCCTCCCACTGTTTCCCCCTACATACAAACAGCCTCCCCCTCCACACCCTTTTTTACATTCATGTCCTTAGGTTTTTGTTTAGATTTTTTAGATCTAGTCCACATATGAAAAAAAACATGCAGTATTTGACTTTCTGGGTCTGGCTTATTTCACTTAATATTGTGATCTCCAATTCCATCCATTTTCCTGCAAATGACATAATTTTATTCTTCTTTATGACTAAATAATATTCCACTGTGTATACATACCACATTTTCTTTTATACCAATATTTGCTGTTGTTTGTTTTCTTGGTAATTGCCATTCTGACTGGGGTGAGCTGGACTCTCAGTGTCGTTTTGATTTGCATTTCCGTTGTGCCTAAGGACGCTGAACATTTCTCCGTGTAGTTATTGAACATTGTACTTCTTTTTTTTTTTTGAGAACTTCCTATTCAGTTCATTTGCCCATTTGCTAATTGGATTATTTGGGTTTTGTGTTTAATTATTTGAGCTCTTTATAAAATATTCTGGGTACTAATACCTTGTCAGCTGAATGGAGGTAAAGACTTTCCCCCATTCTGTAGGCCGTCTCTTCAGTCTAATAGGCTCACAGGGGACTGAATATGACCAGAGTACACTATACACATGCAAAAACAGTAATGACACACACTGAAAATTGTTAAAAGGGGGCAAAAAAGAGTAACAGGGAGGGTGAATATGATCAAAGTACATTATATGCAGGTAAGGATACATCACAATAAACCACAATTTAAAAGGTAGAAAACTAAAGCTTCCTGATATAAATTCAGCCAGAGGGAGCATGAGTGGCTGAAAGCTCAGCCAATGATTGAGCGTAGGAGGGAAACTAAGGCAGGCCGCTCCCTGGGAGTCACAGGACTTCTGAAATAAGCAGCTTTAGCTACAGAGGCCCCAACAGTTGAGGACTTCCACCCAACCTTCCCTCTCCGTCTCCTAAACTCAGGGTCAGACCTCATCACAGTTGGATGGCTCTCCCTGTTTTCTCTCACACAGGCATCTGCCCTCACACAGTCCTACACACCTAATCTTATCATAGTGTCTGCTCTCAGAGCACCCCATTTCCTGAGAAAGAGGTTTTGGGCTCTTGTACACCTCCTCTCCTCCCCAGACACCCACACCTGTGTGGACAGTCCAATGTCATGGAGCTACATTAGAAAGGGGCTGGGAGATCCAGGGTGGAGAGTAACATACTCTCTCTGGGACCTAGAAGGCCAAGAGAGAAGAAATGATGGTGTTTTCAGGGAAAGTGCTGAAAGATTAGTGGGAAAGAAAAGACAGTCCTAGCAGAATTCCAGGATGGAGGAAGTGAGGGGACCTCATTCAGTAGAGCCACTGTGGAGACACAGCCAAGGCAGCAGGAAAGGGCAATCTGGGGAATGCCAGGGCACCTTGAATGCCAAGCCAGAGAGTCAGGGCTTTACCCCGAAAGCCGCAGAGTTCTGTTGAAAGTTATGAGTAATGGAATTACCTGGCCATATTTGGGGTTGTTGTTTTTTTTCCCCACCCCCTGTGCTAGGAAATGAACATGTGTGTTTTTAGAAAAAGTAGATGAGTAAAGATCAAAACCTAACAGGGCAATTAGGAGGCTGGTGCCTTACAATAGGTCCTTTGTCTCTTCATAGAAATTTAATAAGGAAAGAGTGAGATTATAATAGTTTTTATTACTGGTGCTGGATTTTACAACCAAATAGGCCTTTTACTTTTATTTGCTAGCATGAAAGAGCTTCTGAAATTAATCCTCCCTCTGTCCTCTAAAGCCAGGACTGGACCAGCCTTCCTCTGGTAGAAACACTCACATGAGTGTCCCCTTCTCTGTCACAGCCTTCCTTCACCTTCTCAGTCTCACATCCACCCACTCCCCAAGAAAACTCCCACACTGATACCAGTTGCCAGGAGTTCCCAGGCCAGCTTGTGAGAGCCAAAGGCCCAGGCATCACCTCCACTTAGATACAATGCAGAGCAGACTTCAGTCTCTCTCTGGCCCAATCCTGAAAGACCTCACCCTCCAGTGGACAGCGATGGACAGAGTCTCAGTGGATACTCCAGAGCCCAAGAAATGGGTCTCTGAGCTAAAAAACAAAAAAGGTGTAAACCTGCAGGTAAGCAGTCAGGAACCAATTCTGGGAGGCCTAGTGGGAGTCTTCTATTCTCCCCAAGCAGCAAGGTGGGAAGGGGGGAGGGCAGCAATAGCTTTCTCTTGGAAACAGATTTCCTCATTTCCTCAATCTCCACAACATATTCCAGAGGCAAAGGGAGATAAGTTGAGAGTTGCTTTTCTCACTCATGTGACCTCTAGCAATTTTTAAATGTCTGCATGTCTGCTGGATGGAGGAATATATTTTGGAGCTGCTCATTGATCTGCACTGACAGTTGGCTAAACCCACATGGGTCCTTTAAGTATCCCTGAAGCATCAGGACGCTGGGAAAAGGTCAGAGTGACCATCTTTTTTTTTTTTTTTTTTTTGCAGTACTAGTGTTTGAAATCAGGGCCTATACCTTGAGTCACTCCACTCAGAAAAGCCCTTTTTCGTGAAGGGTTTTTTCAAGGTAGGATCTCAGCAACTATTTTCCTGGGCTGGCTTCAAACCTGAATCCTCCTAATCTCTACCTCCTGAGTAGCTAGGATTACAGGGGTGAACCACCAGCACCCGGCAAGAAGTGACCGTCTTTGACCTGCCCACCGGTACTGCATCTGAAACTCAGCAATCTAAGTTTTACCAAGTGCTTTAAAAAAGCAATTTTGTGTAAGCACTAAGTGAAGGCCTTCAGGTATGGTGAGTGGGGAGCCCTTGCCCCAGAGTCTTAAGGAGAAGGGTGGGTGAAGCACTGGGGCCCCTGGCTCTACAGACTTCTCCAGCGATTGTTCTCAGCCCTCCCTCTGCCTCAGTTTCCTCCTAGAACGCTTGGGCCTCAGTTCTCAAACTCACACTTCTCACTGATATGACCTTGGATCTCCCTCCCTCAAGGAATCTGTTCTCAAGGTCACCCAGCACTTTCCCAGCAAACCCCCATGTTTCTCAGAACTCTTGGAGACCCCGATTCCCAGCCTTGCCACCCTACTGTATTCAGCCCTGGCAATCGCCCCCCACCCTCGTCCCTCCTGGCCCGACCTGGGGCTCCCACGGTCAGGCATCCGCGCCCTCGGGCCCCACGAGCAGCAACGGCTGGGTGTTCTTGCCCTTGTCGTGCCAGCACACATCGAAGAAGGGGAACACCGGCCCGGGCAATCGCTCGCGGAAGGCAAAGAGCGGCTGGAGCGCGTCCGCGTTGCTGGCATCATAGAAGGAGAGGACACCATCGCCGAAGCTCAGGTAGAGGCCGATGCGCGACGGCCGCGCCTCGGTGCGCAGCGCACGCGGCTCCTTGGCCTCCACGTGCGCCTCCAGGACCTTCCCGTCGCGCAGCCCCAGCAGCCACAGGCCCTGCGACGGCGCCACGTGCAGTCGGCCTCGGCGAGGGGCGTCAGCCGCCATCACGCCCAGGGCCCAGCGCGGCTTGTCGCCCACCTCCACCTCCCAGTAGTGCTCGCCGTCCGACAGCAGCTGCTGCGCCAACACCGCCACCGCCTTATCGAACTGACGCGGATCCTCGCCGGCCGGTGGCGCCTTCTGCTCTGAGCACTCCACTCGGCGGCCCGAAGAGGACACCACCAGGCTCGGGTGCGCAGAGCTGGTGTCGAAAGTCAGCTCCTCCAGCGCTGCCCGAGAGACAGTGGTCATTCATGCCTGACCCCCTCAAGTCTCCTCTCAACCCACTACAGGCCACCTGGCCTCCTCTCTGCCTCTCATCCTCTCTCTCCTTCCCGACTTGGACCAAAGGCCACACTTGTGTGAGTTCAAGTTTGCTCAGCTGGAAAATAAGGCCACCATTATCTCTCTCCATGGTGCTAGGCAGGCCTGAGTTGATATAAGACATGTGACTGACCACCTGGATCCTAAACAGGCTCCAGGTCACAGAGCAGGAGACAGTGAGGAAGCCTGCTTTTCAGGCTTTACCTATTCTCTGGGCCTTTGTTTTCTCTTGAATACACCAGGAGTCACTCCCACCCTGCCTCCTCCACATAGGCAATGAGAGTTGCACAGCCCTGTGTCCCACCTAGAGCTCCCGGATGTGCTCTAGGTACAGGAGGAGAGGCTGAGCCCTGGGGCCTCCCCAGCCACAGGCCACCAGAGTGGATGTCTGACCCAGGCTAGTCCCTGGGGTCCAGGAGCTCTGTAGGAGCCCTCATCAGGAATCATCCCTGTGACCAGAGGGGCAGGGACTGGCCAAGGGTCACACAGTGAGACAGTGGCTCAAAGCTAGCTGCTGAAGCACTGGAGGTCAGTAGGGTCCTGCCTATGTCACTCTCCCATTATAAACCCCATGTTCTCAAAGGTCATCCTCCAACCTCTGGAGGACCCAGAGGCAAAGGTCCATGGGCACTTTCTTTGATGGCCTTTTGAGGTGGGATAGAGAGGCCTCCCTCATCTCCCCATCCCCAGTTACACAAACCCAGAGCCACCCTCTCCTAATACCTGGCATCAGAGCCCGGAACATCTTCCTCCACACCTGAAATTTGAAGTCATCTGAGATGACAGGCAGCTGGATGTCCAGACGTGCAGGTGGAGGTGACTCTGACAAAATCTTCTGCAGCCTGGGAGTAGAGAGGAGAGGGAGAGCTGTCTTGAGGGGGGGCGGACACAAGAGGCAGTTCCTGAGGGCAAGGGGACCCAGGACCTTCCAGCATCACACCCTTACTTAGAACTCTTCCACGGAGTTTGAATTTGGGGATATAAAAGAGTCCTGGAGGTGGGTGGAGGTGATGGTTACATAATGTACATGTATTTAATGCAACTGAGCATAAAATGTACACTTAAAAATGCTTGAGCCAGGCATATACTCCTGTAACCCCAGCTACTTGGGAGACAGAGGCAGCAAGATAGAGAGTTCCAGGCCAGCCTGGGCAAAGTTATCAAGACATTTATCACAAAAACAAAATACAGGGTTGGGACTGTGTCTCAAGTGGTAGATGAAATCAAGTTCATACCCCAGTACCACTAAAAATAATAATAATAATGGTACATTTGGGCGTGATAGTTCACACCTGTCATCCCAACCATATTAGAAAAATAACTAAAGAGACCAGGTGCCAGTGATTCAAGCCTGTAATCTAACTACTTGAGATGCTGAGATTGGGGAATTGCTGTTTGAGGCCAGCCTGAGGAAATAGTTCGTGAGACCTCATTTCCAAAAAAACAAGCAAAATGGACTGGAGGTGTGGCTCAAGAGGTAGAGCTCCTGCTTTGCAAGCACAAAGCCCTGAGTTCAAACCCCAATTAAATCAAAAAAGAAAAAGAACTAAAGCAAAAGTTTTGGGGATGTCTCTCAACTGGTAGAGCACCTGAGCAGAGGGCCCTGAGTTCAAAGCCCAGTGAGAGAGAGAGAGGGAGGGAGAGAGGAGAGAGAGAGAGAGAGAGAGAAGAAGGAGGAGGAGGAGGAGGAAGAGGAGGAGAGGAGGAGGGAGAGGGAAGAAAGGAGGAGGGGAGAAAGAGGAGAGGGAAGGGAGGAGTTCAAACCCCAGTACTGGAGGGGGGAGAGAGGGAGAGAGAGAGAAGAAGAGGGGGGGGAAGGGAGGGAGGGAGAAGGAGGGGGGAGGGAGGGAGGGAGGAGTTCAAACATGAATACTGCAGAGAGAGAGAGAGAGAGAGAGAAGAGGAGAGAAGAGAAGAGAGGGGAGGGGAGGAGAGGAAAGGAGAGGAAAAAGGAGAGAGGAGAGAAGATAAGAGAGTAGTTCAAACCCCGGTACTGCAGAGAGAGAGAGTTTTAGGCCAGCCTAGGCTATATAGCAGACCCTATCCCCAAAAAAATGCCTAAAGTGGCCTATTTTATATTTTATGTTAAAACAAAGCAAAACTAGTGGCTAAGGTCCAGGCTTCTCAATCCTTCCCAGTTTGCCACAGAAGGTTGGTCTTTCTCACCAGTCTATACCTGCTGCTCCCTCTGCCAGCAGTACCCCAATTCTGCCCAGTTAACTCATGCCCATTCCTCCAGGAACCAACATAAATGTTCAATCCCTGGGAACTTTTCTGGCCACCCCTTTCCCTCCCTAGAAGCCCTAAGAGCATGACAATGCCTGTCTGACAAATGATGCCTGTCTGACATAGTCCGTGAGATCCCCAAAGGGCAAGGACCAGGTCTGGTTCTTCTGTGTTCAACAGAACAAGGAAACAGCAGAAAATGGGATGAAGGTATGAAGGCACGTTGAGAGTAGAGGGAGACTCAGCTGTGCCCCTAAAGACTAGGGAAAGTTGGGCAAAGGGACAGGAGCCAAGCTGATCTCACCTGTTGGTCACCAAGCAGTATTTCTGGAGAGAGAGAAAAAACAGAATGGAGGTAAAGCAGGCAGCAAGAACTTTGAAGATAGGGTTGGCAACCAGAAATGCTGAGTGTGGGGTCAGGACAAATCAGAAAAGGCAAAAGAAACCCAGGACTTGAGGCTACCCCTGGCCCTTTACCTTTACATGAATTTTTTTAAAAGGTGCCTACTCCCCCCAAAGAAACTTTAATTCACCTGTTAGATTATCCTAATATACTAACCTATAATGTTTGTGATATGAATGATGCCCACTTACAATATCCTTAGGCAGTGCCCAACCTGAACAACCGCCCTGATGCCCACCCACTCAAATATGAGACCCTGGCTCATACTTGGCCCTCTCTGGACCTCAGGATCCCCATATGACCATGGAATGAGGTCTCTACTTCCTGCGTCATGGCCAAAAGGCCAAGAAGGGAAGGTCATCCAGTCAGTGCTCACCATGAGGAATTCAGTCTGTGGCTTGTCGGACACCTCCTCCAGTACCTTCTCCATCTGCCGCAGCTGCTCCAGGTAAGAGTTCAGGCCTGACAGCTCCCTCCGCAAGGCCACCACAGCATCTCCACGCACTCGTTCTGCCTCACGCTCCAAAGAGCCCTCCAGTGCAGCCAGAAACACCCGCATCTTGCCCAGCTGCTCCCCAACAGCCCCCCTGAACTGACGAACTGTCTCCTGGAGCAGGGATGGAGAAGGACAGTCAAAAGCACTTGCCTGTAGAATCCCCAGGCTGGACCTGGGGACCTGGACAATTCCCAGGCTCCACCATGCTGGCCCCTCACCTCCACCTCCACCAGCTGATGTTCCAGCAGGGCCACACTCTTCTCTTTTCTCATACAGGCCTCCTGCAGCTGCAGCTTCTGCTGAGGGAGCTGTGTCTGGGGGGATGGGGGGAACCGGGGGAAGCAGGGCATAAGTGATAAGGATGGTGCCCCAAAACCTGCACAGGTAGCTCAGCCTCAGCACCTCTTCCAGCCATCTTCCCAGCCCCACAGCCTTTTTCACACTTCCAAGCCCTGCCTACTGGTACTGAGGTCTGGTGCCTCACCCTTAGCAGTCAGCCCCCAGCATGGATCTTTTCCAGGATCCATGCAAATACAAATGCAGTTTTGTGGCCCCTACCAGAGAGGCAAATGCAGGTGCAAGCTTCTGGTAGTAAGTGACAGATGTATGAAGGAAAGGCAACCAGTCTCCCACACTTCCTTGGCTTCATCCCTTACTTAAGGGAAGAACACCAGGCTCAGTCACCCTCCCTACACCTGTGGGCTCCACAGCCAGGTGCTTTAATAATCTTATCTCCTGCATGGACCAACTTAACACAACTGTGGGCTAAATTCTACCTAAGGTGCATATTGGTGTGTGATTCTTGAAACACGAGTATAGGAGAGTGCCTAATGGCTCCTGCCAAAGCCACTTCTTGGTCAGCTTCCTTTCTTGCCTCCATGGCTTCCAGCCTGCTTCTTTCTCTACAGATGGCAGCAGTCACCCTATCTCAACAAACTAGGGCCACCCTTTGTCCCCTGGGGGGTGCGGGGGAAGGCCACTAGGCAGTGTTTGCTGAGGAGTGCCGGCCCAGCAGGGCTACAGGGTTGAACCTGGGCTCCTGGCCCACTGCCTAGATCAGTCTCCTCCCCAAGGCGTCCTCTTCTCCGTGACCCCGCCTGCTGCAGGACAAGGCAGGCCTGGCAGCTCACCCCATCGGCTGTCAGAGGTTCAGAGGGTGCAGGGCTGAGCCATGGGGAGGAAGCGCGATGCCATCCTGGAGGTGCTGGAGGAGCTGACCTCGGATGAGCTCAAGAAGTTCAAGCTGAAACTAACCGCGATGCCGCTGCGCGAGGGTTTCCGACACCTCCCGCGGGGGGCTCTCGGACCCCTGGACCCCGTGGACCTCACCGACAAGCTGGTTTCCTTCTACTGCGAGGACTACGGCGCCGAAGTCACAGCGGCCGTGCTGACCGATATGGGAATGCAGGAGCAAGCGGCGCGGCTTCGAGAGACGAACTGAACCCCTAGCGCCGGGATCTCATTCAACCACTCCGAGGCTAGTATATTGGCCCTGGACCCAAACCCTCCTCCTCACCAAGGCTCCAAGAGTCTGTCCCACCCCCCTCCAGGTTTCTTTCTGGGGTCATCCCTTCACACCTCTGGTCAGCCCTCCCTGAGGCTTAGGGCTGGGTCCATGCGGGTCGCGCCCCGTTGAATCTCTCCCCATCTGCCCCTTCAAGGTTCCTGGGTCGCCTGGCATCCGGTTCCATTTCATGGGTTCTGTTCTTTTTTGATAAAGATGAGCGAGGGTGGCAGCCTTGAGGTCATAAGCGGAGATGCTCCTGGGTTGGGAAGACTTCCTGGAGGAGGCTCCTGCGCTAAGCTAGGAGGCCATCAACCAGGGCTGGTCTGGACTAAGCAAGGCAGAGGCGGGAGGGGCTGTAAAGCTGGGGCCCCGTAGGAGTCTGAGACCTCGAATACCAGCCTGAGCACTGTGGTCCACCCCCTCTAGGAGACTGGATGCCAACAGAGGAGTCGCGCGACCTGGAGGAAATCCGACCTGCACGCACAGCAGCGTCTTCACAGCGGTCATGGAGAACCTCTCAGTGCCTCCAGACCCCGCCTCCACCTGCCCTGAACCTGTCATTTACTCTTCCACAGTTCAATAAATATCCCCTAACAGACCTTCCTAGGCCGGTGGTACTCATCACCGCCCATACATGCGTGTGATTTCCCAGTGCTTGGGTGTTTTCCTGACCACCCGTAAGGATCGTAAACCTCGTGGCGCTAACAATGTGTATGGGCTGGGTCCCGGTGCATGCCTTGCCCTTCCTGCCTCCTCCAAGTGTCACAGCTTCAGGGCTGCGTGGGCCTCGGTCAGGCAGCTGTACACAGCAGGAGGACAGTCCGGTTACCGCTCTCCTGGCCACGCCTCGAACCCCATACCTCTCGTCTTACGGGATCCCATGTCATGCAAACATGACAACTTGGCAGGACCACGCGTCTCTCCCAGGAGCGCGTGGGCCACAGGCGGTGACTCAGTCGCGTCTCTGTCAGGCTTGGTCCCCGTTTCATCAAGACTGAGCCCCCAAATCTCTAGGCACCCGGGAGGGACTGCGGCGGGAAGACTGTCCCAACCCGCTTCTGCGCGGCTCTTCCACGCTTGCTGCGCTCTTTGCCAGGCACCACCTTGAGGGGCTCAGACCCCTCCCCCTTCCCAGCGCTGGCCCTGCCCACTCTCCATAGCAACCGCAGGCTCCAGTGCCTCTGCAGCCCCGGAAGCCAAATCGAAGCTGCGACCTCCCGATGGGTCAAGCCGGGCTCAATTTAGCAATCCCATCCCACCCGGACCTTTGCTGCGTCCCTCCCGCACCTTGAGGCGCGCGTGGGCCTCGGCGGCGGGCAGCAGACGATGGCCGCGGTGCGAACCAAGCGAGGCGCACACTCCGCACACGAGCACGCGGTCCTGCTCGCAGTAGATGCTCAGCGGGTCGAGGTGTTCCTCGCAGTGGCCTTGGGGCACCTGCGCCAGACCCTCCACTAGACGCGCCAGCTGCAGGTTAGTGTTGAGCGCCTGCGGCCGCGTGGGTGCCTGACAGCAGGGGCAGGGCACCGTGCCGTCCGCTGCCGGCTCCCCCGCCACGCGGCCCAGGCAGGCGCGGCAGAAACTGTGGCCGCACTCGGCGGTCACAGGCGCGTCGAACAGCTGCAGGCACAGCGGGCAGGACAGTTCCTGGTGCAGAAGCCCGGGCGCAGCGGACATGATGAGCCTGGGAGGAGGAGGGGTCGGTCAGGGAGGCCCAAGGGCTGTGCTCCCTTCCGGCTCAGCCCCAGGCCAGGTCTTTAGCCCCTCTGAGGGCTCAGCCTCATTAAGCCCATACTGGAAGGGACTCTGATTTGGACCGAGGGGGAAGACGGACTTGATCTTGGTCCCAAAGGCAGCCCCTGTTGCTATTCTCAGCCTCCATCAAAAATATGCCCTCCTCTGGGCTCTTGTCAACCCCAGTTCCCTAAAGATAAGCCCAGATTCCAGTCTTGTCCACTTGCCTTGCCCCTGCCTTGGCCCCAGGCCGCAGCCTCTGACCCCAGCCCGCCTTCTCTAGAACCCCCACCCCAGCCCTCCTCCCGCTGACCTTTCTCAGTTCCCCAGCCTGTCCCCTACCTCCCATCTCCAGGCTCACAGTACTCACAGGTCTGGTCCAAAATCTTAGGCCAAAAGGGATTCCCAAGAGGACCAGTCAGGGTCAGGCCTAAGTAAGGGGGTCAGAGCTATGACCAAAGTGTCCAAAGACAAGCAGCAGGCTCAGAGCAAGGACAGGGACTCCCGGGCAGTGGACAGTGGACACTGCCGGTGATGGACACAGAGTGAGCAGAGGGCAGACCCTCCCAGACTGACATTGGCCCCAGGACTATATTTAGTAGCTGCCTGCCCATCCCCTCCCATCACTTCTGGAAACTGTTCTAAAAGTGAGCACTGAGTAGTCAGCGCGAAGGCATCTCATGTCAGAGACACCTGTCCTGGCCCATCTACTGTCCCCTCCCTGGGCCAGCCATGAGCCAGAGAGCTCAGAGCAGTAGGGAGACAGGGCCTCCTACAGCAAAGAGACAAAAAACTAGGCAGGGAGGTCTCTCTTCCCCACTCCCCCCTCTACACTCCCTGGCTTCCTCCTTGTTTGCAGGCCCTCCCCAGTTTATACAGCTCATCAATCCCACTGGCCATGTTATCTACGCCCTCGGGAGGGCCAGGATCTCACCCTACCCTGAAAGGCTTTCTTCTTTAGAGCTGAGGGAGGGCACCCTGGAGCAAAGTGAAGCCCTGGCCTCCTCCCCCAAAAAAAATGCTTGGAGAATTTATTCCAAGTAGAGAGAAAACTGAATAAAGGAATGAGCTGAATCCAGAGCTCAATTCTGCCCTGGGAGCCTTCAGCCAACCTGTATGTTTATCTTTCAAATCTCAGTTTAAATTTCTTTTAGAATAAAAAGCAAAGTCCTCCCTGTGTCTTACAAGGTTCTTCTTAATCTAGCCCCACTCACTGCTCTAACCTATTTCTCACTCCCTCCACTTTGTTCCTCAGGGACTTTGCACTTGCCATCCCTGCCTGGAATGCTCTTTCAACCCCAGATAATGCATGTCTCCCTCTTTTTCTCCCTTACATCTGTACTCAGTGTCATCTTTTCAGTAAGACTTTTCCAAACTCCCTAATATTTTTTTAAATTTCACCCGTTGCACTATAGGGACAGCAAAATGGTTATACAATTTTTCTCTCATTCAGTTTTGAAAATCTAAAGTACTTATAATTCCTATAATCCCTTTTTTTTTTAGAATCTCACTGTGTAACCCAGGCTTGCCTTGAACTCACAATTTTCCTGCCTCCACCTCCTGCATACTGGGATGACAGACCTGTACCTGTCATTTTCTTAACAAGTAATGTAGTACAAATAAAAACATCTTTAAAATTGCGTTAAGTCTGGCATGATGATACATACCTGTAATACAAGCTCCTTGGGAGGCAGGGGAAGGAGGATTTTGAGTTCTGAGGCCAGGCAAGGCAGTTAGCAAGACTCTATCCCAGAGCTGGTAGAGTGGCTCAAGTGGAAGAATGCTTGCCTACCAACTGTGAGGCCCTGAGTTCAAATTCCAGTATCATGCAAAAAAAAAAAACCCACATGAAATACAAAAGAAAATGGCTGGGGTGTAGGCTCTAGTGGTGGAACACTTCATGCACAAGGCCCTTGATTCAATCCCAAGTAAAGTCTCACAAAAATAAATAAACCATTTAAATGCATTCTTTACAATTCAGCATTTATTTTTATATCATTTTCAGCTATGTCTAAGAATTAAAGTGGGCTGGAGGTGTAGCTCAAGCGGTAGAGTGCCTGCTTTGCAAATGAGAAGTCCTGAGTTCAAGCCCCAGTCCACCAAAAAAGAAAAAGAAAAAGAAGAAGAAAGAATTAAAGCAAGTAGACAGGAGTGCGACTCAAGTTGTAGAATGCCTGCCTAGCAGGCACTTAACTGGACCAGTTCTGTGTTGTTCTAAGAGCACAGCAAACATAGATCATATTGGTAGCATATTGGGCTCTTGCATAGCTGTGACCAAATACCCAAGAAAAGCAACTCAAAGAAGGGAATATTTTTCTTGGTTCACAATTCCACAGGTGTCAGTCCATCCTAGTGGGGAGGGGATAGTGGAGCAGAGAAGCCCATGTCAGGGCAGCCAGGAAGCAGAGAGAAGGAATACAGGAAGAGGCCAGGGTGAATATAGTCCCCAGTGACCTAATTCTTGCAACTCGGCCCCAGCTCCTACCTTTCACCACCTCCTAATCATGCCCTCATATATGAATCCATCAAGAGATTAACTCACTCATTAGGTCAGAACCCCAATCATCCCTGGAAACACCATCACAGCCACCCCAGGTGTACTCCACCAATCTCCTAGAAGTTTCTTAATCCAGTCAAATTGACAATTGAAATTAACAAGTCCACCTCTTGTAAACTTGACACCCAAACATATCACAAACACATTTTTTTTTTTTTGCATTACTGGGGTTTGAACTTAGGGCCTAAACCTGAGCCACTCAACCAGCCCTTTTTTGTGAAGGGTTTTTTCAAGATAGGTCTCAAACCATTTGCCTGAGCTGGCTTCAACCACAATCCTCCTGATCTCTGCCTCCTGAGTAAAAGGATTGCATGTGTGAGCCACTGGCACTCGCTCAAACACATCATTTTAAACAACAATATTCCACTCCTGGTCCCTAAAAGGCTCGTGTTCATCCCCTGATGCAAACTGCTTTTAGTCCAACTTCAAGAGTCCCAATAGTCTTAACAGTTCCAACACTGTTCAAAAGTCCAAATTCAAATCTCTTCTCAGACCCCTGGCAAACTCTTAGCTGGGAGCTCCTATAAAATCAAAAAGAAAGTTGCATACTTCCAAAATTCAATGGCACAGGATAGACATTCCCATTCCAAAAGGGAAGATCAGATAACAAGGAAAGGTTGGACTAAAGCAAGACCAAAACCCAGCCAGGGCAAACACTAAATCCTGTAGCGCCAGGCACCGGTGGCTCACGCCTGTAATCCTAGCTACTCAAGAGGCAGAGATCAGGAAGATCGAAGTTCAAAGCCAGCCCAGCCAAATAGTTCAAGAGACCTATCTTGAAAATCCCTTCACAAAAAAGGACTGGTGGAGTGGCTCAGGTACAGGCCCTGAGTTCAAGCCCCAGGACCACAAAAAAAAAAAAAAATCCCGTAGCTCCATGTCCAGCATCCAGGGCAGGTGGTATCATGATGTGAACTCCAGTGGGTTTGGGCAACCCACATGGCCTCTCTCTTGGTCTTTCTCTATTCACTGCCTGTGGAAACACCATCACCCCACCCTCAGAGTTTTGCTCCACCAATCTCCCAGGCCTTTCTTAATCTAATCAAGTTGTCAATCAAAACTAATGACCACATTTTCACCATCCTTCTTTCTGACAGTGTGCCAGAATATCTGCATTCATGTTGGTTGTGGGGCCAGAGAGTTCTGGTTCATTACTGATCTACTCACAGACCTCCAAAAATGATATGCCAGTGTGTGTACCACTCTGATGCACAAAGAAACATGTTCCAGAAGAAAGTGTGGCTGAGGTACTCTGGAAGTACAAGAGGATTCAGGGCATTACACTGGATTCTTGTAATTAGTCTTGTCGATTTCTATAATGTGCCAGATGGCAGAGATGAGGGTGGTGGTGAGCACCAGTGCCAGAAGGCTGTGAATGTGAATGCCATAGTCAGGGAGGAGCCCCTGATTTTTTTTTTTTTTTGAGACAGGGTCTCACTGTTACTCAGGCTAGCCTCAAACTCAGGATCTTCCTGCCTCCACCTCCCAAGTAGCTGCAGCTATAGGCTTACCACCACACCCAGCAACTCCCAACATCATCCCTTCCCTGCTTCCCTGGTTGATTTTTCTCCCTGGCATTTATCAACAGGCAACACATTTTACTTGCTTGCTCGTCTACTGTCTGTCTTCTCTTAGAATACAAGTTTTGTTCCATGCTTACCTATAGCTAGGAATACAATGTGGGGTCCACTGTCAGTGCTCAATTAATACTTGATGAATGAAGAAAACCCAGGGACTCAGTCACTCCCCTTTGGCTTCTCAGTCTCTCTCAAGGTTCACTCAACCTTTACCTAGTTTGCCACCCCTCTCTATCTCAATCTGAGTTTGTTTCAGTTTCTTAATCTTCACTCTTTGGACTCTGTCTTTCTTGGATTTTTTGTTTTGTTTTTGGAGACAGGGTCTCTGTTATGTTGTCCAGTTTGGCCTCTAACTCAAAATCATCCTGCCTCAATCTCCCATCTGATAGGATGCGATGAGAGCCAGGCCAATTGTCTTTTTTTGGGTGATACTTGGGTTTGAACTTAGGGCCTTATAAGCCTCTACCACCTGAGCTATGCTCCAGCCCCCAGGCCAATTCTTATCTGAGTAACCCCTAAGTAAACAAGGAAAAACTATTTTCCCTGTGTATAGAAGAAGTAACTGTCCCCTCGTCCACCTTAAACAACTCTTACTCTAACGCTTAAATGGTAAATATAATCTCTCCAGGAGCCAGGTAGCCCCTACTATGTCTCAGCTTTTATGACAAGTCCCAAGACTTGCCTCCAAATTTGGGGCTCATTTCCTGCTTTTATGGCATGCTCAGAAAGATAGCTACTCCAGGATTCCTGACACCTTGGGGACTTAATCTTGAGAACTTGCTCAGACTGTAACCATTTGTTCCTTTCAGAACAGAAAAGTTTTATTATTCTTTTGGATCAGAGCAATTACCTATACAGATGACTACAGATCTAGTTCTCCCAGCATGGGAAAAGTCTTAGAAGCTGGTGGGTTTTTGTTGTTGGTTTTTCAGCTATGCCCACTGAAGCTAGTGTTCTTTACTGGGACACTGGGACATCCAGGGACATTTGATTTCCCCTTCTTTATCCCCCATCCTTATCGCTAAGTCTCTGACTTCTTTGACATTTTTGACACATCGCACTTGGCCTTGGGTTTGTAACAGGAAGGATGTGGGGACAAGGGTATATTTGGAGCTGGTCTCTGAAACCATAAGCCACTTCACTTAGGCTCAAAAAACCAACATCCAGAATTCCCAGGACAATTCCCAGGCTCCACCATGCTGGCCCCTCACCTCCACCTCCACCAGCTGATGTTCCAGCAGGGCCACACTCTTCTCTTTTCTCATACAGGCCTCCTGCAGCTGCAGCTTCTGCTGAGGGAGCTGTGTCTGGGGGGATGGGGGGAACCGGGGGAAGCAGGGCATAAGTGATAAGGATGGTGCCCCAAAACCTGCACAGGTAGCTCAGCCTCAGCACCTCTTCCAGCCATCTTCCCAGCCCCACAGCCTTTTTCACACTTCCAAGCCCTGCCTACTGGTACTGAGGTCTGGTGCCTCACCCTTAGCAGTCAGCCCCCAGCATGGATCTTTTCCAGGATCCATGCAAATACAAATGCAGTTTTGTGGCCCCTACCAGAGAGGCAAATGCAGGTGCAAGCTTCTGGTAGTAAGTGACAGATGTATGAAGGAAAGGCAACCAGTCTCCCACACTTCCTTGGCTTCATCCCTTACTTAAGGGAAGAACACCAGGCTCAGTCACCCTCCCTACACCTGTGTGCTCCACAGCCAGGTGCTTTAATAATCTTATCTCCTGCATGGACCAACTTAACACAACTGTGGGCTAAATTCTACCTAAGGTGCATATTGGTGTGTGATTCTTGAAACACGAGTATAGGAGAGTGCCTAATGGCTCCTGCCAAAGCCACTTCTTGGTCAGCTTTCTTTCTTGCCTCCATGGCTTCCAGCCTGCTTCTTTCTCTACAGATGGCAGCAGTCACCCTATCTCAACAAACTAGGGCCACCCTTTGTCCCCTGGGGGGGTGCGGGGGAAGGCCACTAGGCAGTGTTTGCTGAGGAGTGCCGGCCCAGCAGGGCTACAGGGTTGAACCTGGGCTCCTGGCCCACTGCCTAGATCAGTCTCCTCCCCAAGGCGTCCTCTTCTCCGTGACCCCGCCTGCTGCAGGACAAGGCAGGCCTGGCAGCTCACCCCATCGGCTGTCAGAGGTTCAGAGGGTGCAGGGCTGAGCCATGGGGAGGAAGCGCGATGCCATCCTGGAGGTGCTGGAGGAGCTGACCTCGGATGAGCTCAAGAAGTTCAAGCTGAAACTAACCGCGATGCCGCTGCGCGAGGGTTTCCGACACCTCCCGCGGGGGGCTCTCGGACCCCTGGACCCCGTGGACCTCACCGACAAGCTGGTTTCCTTCTACTGCGAGGACTACGGCGCCGAAGTCACAGCGGCCGTGCTGACCGATATGGGAATGCAGGAGCAAGCGGCGCGGCTTCGAGAGACGAACTGAACCCCTAGCGCCGGGATCTCATTCAACCACTCCGAGGCTGGTATATTGGCCCTGGACCCAAACCCTCCTCCTCACCAAGGCTCCAAGAGTCTGTCCCACCCCCCTCCAGGTTTCTTTCTGGGGTCATCCCTTCACACCTCTGGTCAGCCCTCCCTGAGGCTTAGGGCTGGGTCCATGCGGGTCGCGCCTCGTTGAATCTCTCCCCATCTGCCCCTTCAAGGTTCCTGGGTCGCCTGGCATCCTGTTCCATTTCATGGGTTCTGTTCTTTTTTGATAAAGATGAGCAAGGGTGGCAGCCTTGAGGTCATAAGCGGAGATGCTCCTGGGTTGGGAAGACTTCCTGGAGGAGGCTCCTGCGCTAAGCTAGGAGGCCATCAACCAGGGCTGGTCTGGACTAAGCAAGACAGGGGCGGGAGGGGCTGTAAAGCTGGGGCCCCGTAGGAGTCTGAGACCTCGAATACCAGCCTGAGCACTGTGGTCCACCCCCTCTAGGAGACTGGATGCCAACAGAGGAGTCGCGCGACCTGGAGGAAATCCGACCTGCACGCACAGCAGCGTCTTCACAGCGGTCATGGAGAACCTCTCAGTGCCTCCAGACCCCGCCTCCACCTGCCCTGAACCTGTCATTTACTCTTCCACAATCCAATAAATATCCCCTAACAGACCTTCCTAGGCCGGTGGTACTCATCACCGCCCATACATGCGTGTGATTTCCCAGTGCTTGGGTGTTTTCCTGACCACCCGTAAGGACCGTAAACCTCGTGGCGCTAACAATGTGTATGGGCTGGGTCCCGGTGAATGCCTTGCCCTTCCTGCCTCCTCCAAGTGTCACAGCTTCAGGGCTGCGTGGGCCTCGGTCAGGCAGCTGTACACAGCAGGAGGACAGTCCGGTTACCGCTCTCCTGGCCACGCCTCGAACCCCATACCTCTCGTCTTACGGGATCCCATGTCATGCGAACATGACAACTTGGCAGGACCACGCGTCTCTCCCAGGAGCGCGTGGGCCACAGGCGGTGACTCAGTCGCGTCTCTGTCAGGCTTGGTCCCCGTTTCATCAAGACTGAGCCCCCAAATCTCTAGGCACCCGGGAGGGACTGCGGCGGGAAGACTGTCCCAACCCGCTTCTGCGCGGCTCTTCCACGCTTGCTGCGCTCTTTGCCAGGCACCACCTTGAGGGGCTCAGACCCCTCCCCCTTCCCAGCGCTGGCCCTGCCCACTCTCCATAGCAACCGCAGGCTCCAGTGCCTCTGCAGCCCCGGAAGCCAAATCGAAGCTGCGACCTCCCGATGGGTCAAGCCGGGCTCAATTTAGCAATCCCATCCCACCCGGACCTTTGCTGCGTCCCTCCCGCACCTTGAGGCGCGCGTGGGCCTCGGCGGCGGGCAGCAGACGATGGCCGCGGTGCGAACCAAGCGAGGCGCACACTCCGCACACGAGCACGCGGTCCTGCTCGCAGTAGATGCTCAGCGGGTCGAGGTGTTCCTCGCAGTGGCCTTGGGGCACCTGCGCCAGACCCTCCACTAGACGCGCCAGCTGCAGGTTAGTGTTGAGCGCCTGCGGCCGCGTGGGTGCCTGACAGCAGGGGCAAACACTAAATCCTGTAGCGCCAGGCACCGTGGCTCACGCCTGTAATCCTAGCTACTCAAGAGGCAGAGATCAGGAAGATCGAAGTTCAAAGCCAGCCCAGCCAAATAGTTCAAGAGACCTATCTTGAAAATCCCTTCACAAAAAAGGACTGGTGGAGTGGCTCAGGTACAGGCCCTGAGTTCAAGCCCCAGGACCACAAAAAAAAAAAAAAAAATCCCGTAGCTCCATGTCCAGCATCCAGGGCAGGTGGTATCATGACGTGAACTCCAGTGGGTTTGGGCAACCCACATGGCCTCTCTCTTGGTCTTTCTCTATTCACTGCCTGTGGAAACACCATCACCCCACCCTCAGAGTTTTGCTCCACCAATCTCCCAGGCCTTTCTTAATCTAATCAAGTTGTCAATCAAAACTAATGACCACAGGTAGTAAAAAATGCCATATGATAAAAAGTTCATTTTCACCATCCTTCTTTCTGACAGTGTGCCAGAATATCTGCATTCATGTTGGTTGTGGGGCCAGAGAGTTCTGGTTCATTACTGATCTACTCACAGACCTCCAAAAATGATATGCCAGTGTGTGTACCACTCTGATGCACAAAGAAACATGTTCCAGAAGAAAGTGTGGCTGAGGTACTCTGGAAGTACAAGAGGATTCAGGGCATTACACTGGATTCTTGTAATTAGTCTTGTCGATTTCTATAATGTGCCAGATGGCAGAGATGAGGGTGGTGGTGAGCACCAGTGCCAGAAGGCTGTGAATGTGAATGCCATAGTCAGGGAGGAGCCCCTGATTTTTTTTTTTTTTTTTGAGACAGGGTCTCACTGTTACTCAGGCTAGCCTCAAACTCAGGATCTTCCTGCCTCCACCTCCCAAGTAGCTGCAGCTATAGGCTTACCACCACACCCAGCAACTCCCAACATCATCCCTTCCCTGCTTCCCTGGTTGATTTTTCTCCCTGGCATTTATCAACAGGCAACACATTTTACTTGCTTGCTCGTCTACTGTCTGTCTTCTCTTAGAATACAAGTTTTGTTCCATGCTTACCTATAGCTAGGAATACAATGTGGGGTCCACTGTCAGTGCTCAATTAATACTTGATGAATGAAGAAAACCCAGGGACTCAGTCACTCCCCTTTGGCTTCTCAGTCTCTCTCAAGGTTCACTCAACCTTTACCTAGTTTGCCACCCCTCTCTATCTCAATCTGAGTTTGTTTCAGTTTCTTAATCTTCACTCTTTGGACTCTGTCTTTCTTGGATTTTTTGTTTTGTTTTTTGGAGACAGGGTCTCTGTTATGTTGTCCAGTTTGGCCTCTAACTCAAAATCATCCTGCCTCAATCTCCCATCTGATAGGATGCGATGAGAGCCAGGCCAATTGTCTTTTTTTGGGTGATACTTGGGTTTGAACTTAGGGCCTTATAAGCCTCTACCACCTGAGCTATGCTCCAGCCCCCAGGCCAATTCTTATCTGAGTAACCCCTAAGTAAACAAGGAAAAACTATTTTCCCTGTGTATAGAAGAAGTAACTGTCCCCTCGTCCACCTTAAACAACTCTTACTCTAACGCTTAAATGGTAAATATAATCTCTCCAGGAGCCAGGTAGCCCCTACTATGTCTCAGCTTTTATGACAAGTCCCAAGACTTGCCTCCAAATTTGGGGCTCATTTCCTGCTTTTATGGCATGCTCAGAAAGATAGCTACTCCAGGATTCCTGACACCTTGGGGACTTAATCTTGAGAACTTGCTCAGACTGTAACCATTTGTTCCTTTCAGAACAGAAAAGTTTTATTATTCTTTTGGATCAGAGCAATTACCTATACAGATGACTACAGATCTAGTTCTCCCAGCATGGGAAAAGTCTTAGAAGCTGGTGGGTTTTTGTTGTTGGTTTTTCAGCTATGCCCACTGAAGCTAGTGTTCTTTACTGGGACACTGGGACATCCAGGGACATTTGATTTCCCCTACTTTATCCCCCATCCTTATCGCTAAGTCTCTGACTTCTTTGACATTTTTGACACATCGCACTTGGCCTTGGGTTTGTAACTGAAAGGATGTGGGGACAAGGGTATATTTGGAGCTGGTCTCTGAAACCATAAACCACTTCACTTAGGCTCAAAAAACCAACATCCAGAATTCCCAGAATTTGGATCTCACCTGCAATTTCCATCACTGCCAAGTTAGGGCTGAAGGTTCTGGCTACTTGACCCTCTCATAAGAATGGTGTTCCAAGATGGTGGGGAGGTTGACAGTCAACTGCATCCTTCTCTGAGATGGGCCAGGTCTGGTCTTTGGCCCATGAAAGGGACACTGATTGTCGGCAGGACAAGAAGGAACAAGAAGCTATGTCTAGGGGAGTGGGAAGGACCAGTGTTGCTGACCCTCAGACCAAGCTCTACAAGGTCCCTGGGGTCCATAGTGCTCAGCTGGGAGATTTCAGTTTGTCCTAAGGGAGAGCTTCCCAACAGCTGAAGTAATAACTGCTGGGAAAGGCCAGAGCTCCTTGCAGATATGTACAAAGACCTGAAACCTCCAGGTGGGCTGCTCTGGAAGCATTCCAGGCCCCAATATGACATCAAAAGCTCATGCTGAGTGCCCCCTGGGAAACTCACCTAACCTCTCTGGGCTTCAGCAACTCCAGCTACAAAATAAAGGTAAGTAGAATAATAATGCCATTCCTGGAGGGTTGTCATGAGGATTAAACTGGATAATGTGATGAATAAAACAGGGACAGTATGCCAGCATCCAAGGGCATAGGAAGCACTGACAGCCACTACTATGTTCAAATCCTGACTCTGCTGTTTCCTTGTTAAGTGACCTTGGGCAAATCACTTAACCTGATTTTCCCATTAACTTAAAATGAGAATTGTATACAGATTATCACCAAGGCTATTAGGTTATTTTGAAGATTCAACAATTTTTTTTTTTCGGTGGTACTGGGGATTGAACCCCAGGGCCTCAGGCTTGCTCAGGCACTCTACCACTTAAGCCATTCCACCAGCCCAAGTTAATTATTCTTTGTTATGTGTTTGAGACAGGGTCTTACTCTGTAGTCCAGGTTGGCCTCTAACTCTCAATCCTCCTGCCTCAGCTTCCCAAGTGCTGGGATTACAACTGTGTTCCACTACTCCCAGCAACAAGTTAATTCTTAGAAAGCTTTCAGAACAGTTGCAGAAACACAGCAAATGTTCAGTAAATATTGGATATCAATATCATTACTAATTGCTCCAATGAATCTTCCCTACAGCCCTGTAAGGTTGATAGCATCATCTCCACCCCACAGATTGGGAAAATGAGCCTCAGAGACTATGCACCAGGCCTGTTCCAAGCACTTGACAATCCTTATTTAGGCCTCCTATCTTACAGGGCAGCCATAAGGCACAGAGAGGTTAGCTAACATGGCCAGGGTCCTGGCAATTTGTGCTCTTAGAGCAGCACTCTGGCCCCAGCAATCAGTCACTTTGTTGAGTAGGGGGTGACACACCCAGGAGGCATCTTACCTCAACCAACCATGCTGGCTCTTGTCCAGGGGGGAAAGGGTGAGCCTGAGCTGAGACCTGGAGGTTCTTCTCTGCCAGGGGTCAAAGCTCAGAGCTCTGAGCACCTCATCCAGAAAAAAGGCGGGGGGTGGGGGGGTGTCAAAGGAGAAGCAAGTATGGTGGCTTCCCAGAAAGTCTAAGGCTCCCATTCTCCCCAACCCAGTGAAAACCACCCTGGTGGTCTCCAGGAGCCAGCAGGCTTTGCCTCTATCTTTTTGGGGTACCCTAAGCTAGGCACTGATTTCCCTATGGGTTGGTGAGGTGAGCACATCATTGACACGAAATCCAGACCCAGAGAGAGGTTTTGACACAAAGGGCCTGGGAATCAAATCTGCCTGGGTCTGACACCCCTCCTGCTTTTTCTACTATTCCACATCTACTGAATATGCTACTTGCAAGTTCTAGAGCATTCTGCACATAGGAGGAAGTTCGTATCATCACTACCGTGATTGCAACACCTGCCTCCTGGGCATGTATTTCCTGTACACATAATCTGTCCGAACATTATTTGTCAATTTTTGAGAGCAGAGAGTGGAACTTTCACTTGAGGATGTTGGTTGGCATAGGGGCCTAGGAGACATGGACAGGGAGAGATTCAGTCTGTGTTTCAGCACTTACCAGCAGTATAGGCTTCCCAGCTAATTTCTGAAAACCTGTTTTATTCACTGTGAGGAAAATACACATATCTCATGAGGTTGTTGGGAGAGTTAATCAAGATTATGAAGGTCAAATGCTTAGCACAGAGCCTAGAAAATAGTTTAAGATTAAAAAAATGGAGGCCTAGCCAGGCACCGGTGGCTCATGCCTGTAATGCTAACTACTTGGGAGGCTAAAATCAGGAGGATCACAGTTAAAGGCCATCCCAGGCAAATAGCTCACCATACCCCATCTCCAAAATAACAAGACTAGAACAAAACAAAATAACCAGAGTAAAATGAACCGGAGTTGTGGCTCAAGTGGTAGAGCAGCTGCTTTGCAAGTGCTGAAGCCCTAAATTCAAACCCCAGTCTCACCAAAACACACATACATATAATTACAGTGGAGATTGGGCATTAAGTAGACCCAATGGATCCTTTTCAAATAAAATAGGCTCCAAAAACTTTGTTCCCTTCTGAGTTCAGAATTTGCAGCCTAAAACTGCTGTAGGAGCGACACTTTCAATTGTGATAAGAAACAAAAGTTTCTTTACTGAGTGGGGAATGAGACAGAAGTCACATGGCACAGGGGATCCCTGCCATCATTTCTAAAATGATGCAATCATTTCTTTTTTTTCTTTGTACTGGGGTTTGAACTCAGGGCCTCAAGCTTTCTAGGCAGGCACTCTGCCACTTGAGCCACTCTGCCAGCCATTTTTGTATTGGGTATTTTTGAGATTGGGTCTCTTGAACTTCTTGCCCGGGGCTGGCTTCAAATTTTGATCCTCCCAATCTCTGCCTCTTGAGTAGCTCTGATTACAGGCATGAACCATCAGCACCCAGCTTTAGACAATCATTTTTTTTTCTTAATTGTTGTGCTGGGTGTAGACAATCATTTCTAAACTTCCATGAATCAAACATCAAAAGCTTCTAAGATTGTACAAAACGTGAAAAGAGATTTCTTTAGTTCTAGATTCTAGGATTCTTTCATCATTCTATGAAGACTTCTTGAGACTGAGTTTGTGCTGGGTACTGTGGACCAGATAGAGTCAAGACCTGGTTTCTGGCCCAGCACTGGTGGCTCACACCTGTAATCCTAGCTACTCAGGATCAGGAGGATTGACTTCAAAGCCAACCCTGGGAAAATTTATTCACAAGACCCTACCTTGAAAATACCCAATACAAAACAAGGCTGGTGGAGTGACTCAAGTGGTAAAGTGCCTGAGTTCAAACTTAGGCAAGTGTGAGGCCCTGAGTTCAAACTCCAGTACCGCCAAAAAAAAAGCTCTCAGTCTGGGAGAAGTCTAGTAAATAGACACACTTATATTATAAAGAGACGTGGTAGAAGCATCTCAGGGCTATCCCAGAGACACAACCAGAGAACTGTGCACAGGAGAGGAAAAACAACAGGGAAGAATAGACTGGATAGGCTCAGAAGCTATTCAGACGAATGCTTGAGGCCTTCAATTCAATCCCAGCACCACCAAAAACTAAGAGCAGAAATTAGACTGATAAGCTATCTTATCTCAGTGACATGACCTTGAACAAGCTTGTTAATCTCCCACCTCTCTTCATGTTTTTCCACGGGGTTACCTTTCCCTCTCTCAGAGACTGGTGAAAGGCTTAGAGGTAATGCATGTGAAGGACGGCAGCCCAGAGTTTGATGATTTATTATTACTTAGAAAAGTTATTCCTGATAAGGGCAGAGGACAGGCAGGAACTCACCAAGTAGCTCAGGAGGGAAGCAAGCCACAAGGAGAACAGGTGCCCCACAAGGTCCAAAGGCCACCAAGGTGGAGGAGCAGCTGAGCAGGTAACAAGGATATCTGAAAGCCATGCCGAAGAGCTGGGAGTCACAAGAGCATACAAGGAGCAAGACCAGTGGTGGGTTAGGAATATAGATCCTCTGGCCACAGTGCAAAAAATGAATTGGAGATTCCAGGACAAGGACCATGGAGGAGCTAGAATAATAAAGTGCATGCACCACAAGTGCCATTGTGGTAAGGATGTTGACATGTAGCTTAGCCCAGCTTGTGTGGGATGGAAAACAGGGCCCCGAGACCCTGCATGAAGCTCCTGAACTGCAATGGGCAGCAAACATTACAGCCTCATTCATCCCTTCACTCAGCAAGTATGTGCTGAGCACCTACTGAGTGCCAGATACTGTCTTGATGCCAGGGATTCCACAGTGATCCCTGAACCCCATGCAGCTCTCCTTTTAGTGGGGTGGCTACGCCATAAATGAATAAATGTATATGTCAGGGTTGTATCACTAGAAAGATGATTGTTCCAACCCAGGTGAGAGGGGACAATAAAGGCCAATATCCACTGCTGTAACTCACGTTTCAGAAATTTGATCACCAAATCAACAGTGTTAAGGGGAAGAACATTTAAGAGGTGATTAGGTAGATGGTAGAGCACTTGCCTAGCATGCATAAGGCTCTGGATTTGATCCTCAGCACCACAAAGAAAAAAAAAGGTGAGTCCAGCCCCCTCTGGTGTGTATGCTTTTTTGCCCTCTCTTCCACCTTGCTATGTAATGACACACTGAGAAGGTCCCCATTGAGGTCCCTCAATCTTGGACTTCCCAGCCTCCAGAACCATAAGCCAAATAAAGTTCTTTTCTTTATAAATTAACTAGTCTCTTGCATTGTCATAGTAGCACCAAATGGACTAAGACAACCTACCAAGGAAGTAGAGCCAGAATTCAAACGAAAGATCGTGTGGCTTTAGGTCTATGGACCTTCAGCTACTGTTTTTTGTTGTTTTTTAAAGAGTGTCCCCAGGCTGGCTTTGAACTTGTGATCCTCCTACCTTAGCAGGCATGTGCCACCACACCCAGCTTAGGAACTGCCTTACTGAAGAGTTTGTTTTAAAGCAAGTTTCCAGTTCCCGACATGCTCGTTTGAGCTACTCTGCTGGCAGATTTTCTTAACTAGTCACTTCCCAAGAAATTCAGCTCCTGGGGTCAAATCCTGGCTTCCCCAGAAGCATTTGGTAAGGTTTTGGGAGGCTGATGCAACTATCCCGTTGACTCCTACCCACTGTGCCCTCCAAACTTAGCTCCTAGGGGTATACAAGATCCAGCCACCTAGCTTGTCATGAAGTAGGGCTGGAAGATGGGACAAAACAGGGAATATTTAGTAGGTGGCTGAGTGTCATTATCCCTGATTTACATAGAAAGATACATACATAGTTACTTTTTTTTTAATAAAATAAAATTTGGGGAGCTTTGTGGTTCTAGTTATGATTCTAAAATCCTATGACATGTGAGAGGATCCTAAGGCCCAGCAAAACGTGGAAATTCTACAATTCTCAAGATCCTAAGCCTGTGCTGCAATGAACTCGGTGTGAGCAAGAGCTGGTTCCTGACCCTGTGCCAGAGTACTGGGGGCAGGCACCACTCAGGAATCCCTCTCCCAGCTCTACCTCCCAAACCTGCTGGAGAACACCATCCTGGCTTCCCCCACGGCCTTGGTAGGCGGGAACCAGGACAGCCTAGGGGCGGGACCGGAGTTAGGGGGAGGAGAGCCCCAGGTCCCGCCCAGAAGCAGACTCGCAGACTTCCCTGTCCATCTGCAGAAGGCAGCCTGGGTGAGAGGCTCTGGCGGAGGCGTACGCCAGAGCCATGGGGTCGGGGCGCGACGCCATCCTGGAGGCACTGGAAAACCTGACCGCTGACGAGCTTAAGAAGTTCAAGATGAAGCTGCTGTATGTGCCACTGCGTGACGGCTACGGTCGCATCCCCAGGGGGATGCTGCTGCCCATGGACGCCTTAGACCTCACCGACAAGATTGTCAGCTTTTACCTGGAGGCCTATGGCTCGGAGCTCACGGCCACCGTGCTGCGAGACATAGGCATGCAGGAGATGGCGGAGCTGCTGGAGGTCAAGCTCACGGGTGAGCCGCCCATGTCCCCTCACCTACCTTCCCCCGCAACCTCCCCACCCTACTGAGAAAGCGTTTCTGCTTTCAGTTCCTCCTGCCCTGAAAATAAGGCTCCTCTGCTGGGAAAGGCACTTCCTGCTCGGCCCCGAATTTAGGGGCCCCCACTTCTTTAGTTTGGCTCATTTCTTTACAGCCAGCGGAGCTAAACCTGCTGAAATCAAGGCCCCTCTTCAGACAGCAGCCAAGTCAAGAGAAGCACCCAAGTCAGGTGAAGCCACACACAGGACCCTCTCCAGCCCCCCGCACCATACCCCTGCAGACTGTTGTCCCATGGCCACGCTAGACAAGCCTACCCACCCCTCTCATTATTACCTGGAATCCTCCTGGGGAGCTGCCCCACCCTCAGCTGCACAAAATTTCCAAAACAGGGTTGAGTAGGGCAGGCCCAGTGCCCACCCCAGCTGCCGCTCATCTCTTCCTCCCACCCCCAGCCATACACTTCGTGGACCAGCACCGGAGAGCACTCATCTCCAGGGTCACAGACGTGGAGGGGGTTCTGGACGCGCTGTATGAGGACAGGGTCGTGTCGGAGGAGCAGTACCAGGCAGTGCGGGCAGAGAGCACCAACCCAACCAAGATGAGAAAGCTCTTCAGCTTCACACCCTCCTGGAACCAGGCCTGCAAGGACCTGCTCCTCCAGGCCTTGAGGGACACCCAGCCCTTCCTGGTGGAGGACCTGGAGAAGAGCTGAGGCGTCTTCCCCAGCAACAGCCCACTGGTCCACTACTGGCAACCCCACTTAACCCATGTTTCTTTTTATATACAATATATGAAAAAATAGCTTGTACTTGTTTCTCCTACGCCCTGCTGGCATGTGGAGGCACGAGCTGGGGTGCAGACTGGGAGGTAGCTCAGTGTGAGGCAAAGTATGTGGTTGGCATGCACAAGGCCTGAGTTCCAACTCTGAACCAAAAATGCACACAGGCTCAAGTGATGCTCTGACATCACTGTTCCTAGGCTATTAGGCTCCTCAAATGCTTTCTGGTTACCATATGGTGGCTCTTCCCATCTTATCCCAGAGTCTACCCTTGAAATTATACATAATACCCCCATGGCCAGGGTAGAGTTAAAACAGGAGACTCTGCAAAAGGGCCTGGAACAGTGGGGAACCAGACTTGTCTAAGGCATTTACATAATAGACCCTACACCTTTCACCTTTTCCACAGGGGGGAAAACTCCTGAATTACAGCTATTTTAGGGAAGAGAAATTAGCATCATCCAAACATAAAACAGAACAAGCCACCAAATAGAATTCTGTGATTGTTTCTAGCACAGGAACTAGCAGACCTCTGTGTTCCCTCTGGTCCACCCCATCCCTGGACCCCATAACTGGAAAGGGTTATAGGTTACACTTTGCACAGAAAACATGTCAACCACAAAAGGAAACTTTCAAAAAGTAAGTTGTGGTAGCTAATTCTTCTCTTGATGCCATTTTTGCCTATAAAAGGAAACACAAGTATTTTTCTCCAGGATAACAGTATTAAGGAGTCTCTGTGAAGGCTAAAGCTATATCCTAAGCACACTTTGTACCCATCCCTTTCTGGCCTTTAAAGGGGAATGAAGATTTGCAAAGCAACCAGCAGGTACTACCTACCCAGGATACGCTAAGAACCTGGAGCCTAATCCACAGACAACCATTTCCCAACTTTACTACCCCCACCAGGCTTAGTTCTAACCTCTTACCTCCAACAGGCCTCCTAACTGGCCCTGTCTCTAGTCTACCTACAAGAGCCTGAGTAACTGAAACTGATGGTGGGAAAGGACTGTCATACAGGTACACACCTAAACTTCTTCCAGCCTAACCCTTAATCCCATCCAACCTCTTCTCCCACCCCTCTCCTTACATAGCCTTCTCCCACCAATACTATTTGCTCACACCCAGCTCCAAGCACTCATCATCACACATGCCAAAGTCCTTTAGTTCTGGACAGCCAAGGAATTTCCTACCCATCCCAGCATGCTCAAAGGTATGCCTTTCTCTGGCTCAGATGGTACATTCCATACAGTGTCTCTGGGGCAAACCAAACCATTGTCATAGTCTTGTTTATATAGGGCCCCTCCATTAGACCAAGCTTCAGTTAAGACCTTTTTTTCAACCTCTATACAAATGCCTTTTAAAAGTTTTTGAAAGTTTCACAGGACTACCAAGCACAGTGGCTCACACCTGTAATCGCAGCTACTTGCAGAGATTGGGTGGACCATGGTTGAGGCTAGCCTGAGGTAAGTTATTGAGACCGTATCTCAACCAACAGCTGGATGTGGTGGTACAAGTCTGTCAGCCCAACTACACAGGAAGCATAAATAAGAGATCAAAGTTCAGGCTGGCCCTAGCATAAAACAAGACTCCTATTTCAAAAGTAAAAGCAAAATTGGCTAGGGGGCGTGGCTAAAGTGGAAGAGCTCCTGCCCAGCAAGCTTGAGGCCCTCAGTCCAAGCCCCAGTACCACCAAAACAAAATCTTCACAGGAACCTAATGGTTCTCATGAGATGGGGCCATAGGTGACATTTCCCTGTACAACAGCTATCCTTTTTTTTTTTCTGGCAGCACTGGGATTTGAACTCAGGGTCTCATGCTTGCTAGGCATGACTTTTACAACTTGAGCCACTCTGCCAGCCCAACTATTCTTAAGTAGCTACAGCTATCCTTAAGTAGCTACAAACACCAGTGCAATCCTAAACCAACATCGTTTTAAGAAATAGCTTCCCTAAGTATAGCCAGGGGCTGTGATAGTTTGAAGCCAACCTGGGTTACACACAGTAAGACCCTGAGTCAAAAAACCAAGATAAAAAATTTCTTGGGAGCTCACTTTTCTCTGGGGGTGGGCTAACTCATTTCTACCTGAAGTCTCAGATTTTTGTCACAACAATGGTTAAAAGCAAAAGTTCTACAAAGGATAAAAATCTCAAGTGTGGAGGCAAGTCTCAAGGTGTATAGTACCTGCCTAACAAGCACAAGACAATTAAGTTCAAACCTCAGTTGGGGGTGGGGGGTGAAGGTACTGATCAAATGGGACAAAGAAATGAGTTCATGTGGCTGAGAGCATGCCTAGCAAGTGCAAGGTCTTGAGTTCAAACCCAGTACTGAAACTCCCCCACCACCACCAAAAAAAATTCAAATTCCAGCTCCACCTCACACTAGCCAGTTGGTGACTCAACTCCTCCTCTGCAAAGTGGGAACAGGACACAGCCCTTCACCTACCAGCAACTGGCACATAGCAAATACACCTGTATGTCAACAACTCCCTCCAGTAAACACCTCTCAGGCAGACCCAATTCTCACTGGAGCCAGACAGGTATTTCCCACATCCCTAACTGTGGTGAAAACTCCCTACATGATGCCCCAGATCTCTCCAACAAAAACTTTAAAACCCAGAGGGAAAAAAAAACATCTAAAACAATTTTTGAGGCAGGGTCTCACTATGTAGCCCAAGGCTAAGATTCAAATATGTCATCTTCCTGCCTTAGCCTTCTTGAGTGCTGAGATCACAGGTGTATGCCACCATAGTAACTAACAACAAACATTCCTTGTTCAAATCTTCCATCAAGAGTCAGAAAACTTAGAACAAGCAAAATAGAAGCCAGCACTAGCTAGGTTTAGTGCCAGCAACAAGAACCCAAATGCAGGACATAGTCTTCTTTCTTCTTAGCTCCTAGACGACACTATTTATGTATAAAGTTTTGCACAAAACCAAGATCCCCTTCAGGGAGAAAGTGGAGAGAATAAGCAGGAATTGAGCTAACATACTCTCCAGCATCACTCTAAAAGGGCTACTGAACCAACAGCATTAGCACCACAAGAGCTTAGAATCTACATTTTACATGCATTTATCTACATCTTTACATACACACACACACACAAACACACAGAGTACATCCCTACTCCAAAAATTCAAAATGCTCCAAAGTTCGGAACTTTTGTTAGTACTAACATGATTCACAAGTGGGAAATTCAACACCTGACCTCACAGGTCACAAACTAGAGGCACACTAAAAATTACTGTAGGAAATTACCTTCAGATTGTATGTGAAATATATATATGAAACATTAGTGAATGTCATGTTTAAACCTGAGTCCCATCCCCAAGATACCTCATGTTGTATATGTAAATATTCTAAAACGTGACAATAACCTGAAATCCAAAATATTTGTTTGTAGGTGTTTTGGTTAAGATACTCAACCTGTGTATTTAACTTAGAAAAGAAGACTTGGCTCTAACTTTCTCCAACTGACAGATTTTCAGTGGCCTTCCCACATGTCTGGAGACATGCATTTTAGTTTTTACTCAGGCACAGTAAACAGAATGGGCCAGCTTTTCCTTTTGGTTTGGGAAAATCAAAACAAGCAAAAAAAAAAGTGTCCAGCCTAGGATGTGACAGCCAGGTTCCTACTCTGACTGGGTTGCAGAAAAGCCCTAAAATCACTGCACTGAACAGCTACAGAATCTACCAACTGTGCAACACTGCCACCTCTTGGTGGCAGCCCGGAAAATAGTTGCTGCTCCCTTCAAAGTTTGCTCATGCCCTCCACCTCACCCTAGACCTGCCTGCCACTTAAGATGTCTACTTTGGTCCCCCACTACAGGACTAGCACTCTTTGAGGTGGCATAGCACATCCCAAATCCTCAACCCAATAGCATAAAGCTCCTTCCCCACCTTCAGCCCCAACCTCATTATTCTCAACTGTCCCACAGTTAACAGAGCCCTTTCCCTGGCACCTACAGCCCCAAAATTCAGGATACCACCACAATCTGATGAGACATGAGAGAACTATCAACCAAGGAATTATTTCTTCCCAACCCAACAAATACTAGGAATTTTAGACTCAAAACTGTGCCGACCACCAAAAAGGCCCTAGGTGATAATCAAGATAAACTTGACTATACTGTTTCTATGCCAGTGTCACGAGGACTACATTTACAGAGGGAGATAAACAATGTAACTTGCAGAAACTCTTAAGTCTAAAATCATTTCAAGATAGTTTAAAAAGATGAAGGGAAAGAGGCTTTCTAAGTACTGAGGATCCAAAGGGAGAGTTATAAAGAGACTACTGGAGAAGAACGATGGCTGAAGGACCCCACACCTGAGTACTGCGTTTCCTTGCAGACTAGTATAGGAAATGAGGTCTGGTTTCAGACCCCCTGGTAGCTGGTTAAGGATAAGAAGTATTACCCAGCATGGTTACATGTCTTAATCACACAGCATATAGGAAGGAGGCTGAAGCAGAAAATTTGAGGTCAGCCTGGGCTACAGATCAAGGCAGTCTATTTTAAAAGGAAAAAAAAAACTCACACTTGTAAAACTAGCATTTATTAAGATCTAAGGGCTGGGCGCCAGTGGCTCACACCTATAATCCTAGCTTACTCGAGAGACAGAGATCAGGAGGCTCTAGGCTCAAATCCAGCACCAGCAAACAGCTCGAGACCCTATCTCAAAAAAACTATCAGAAAAAAGGGCTGGTGGAGTGACTACAAGGTGCAGGCCCTGAGTTCAAACCCCAGTACCACAAAAAAAGCATCTAAGGTAACAAGTGTTATACGGATAAAAGAATCCCTAACGTTGTTGGTGGAACGTAGATTTTAGTCGTTATGTAAGACAAAAAACTAGAAGTACCACACATTCCAGCAATACCACTTCTGCGTAGGTATTCAAAAGACTTGGAACTCAGAATGTCAAAAGAAATGTCTGCACTCCCATATTCTTTGCATTAATAGCTGAAATATGGAAACAAAAATGACAATAGGTGAATGTGGTTTTGAATCTGGTATATACACAATGAAATCTGTTCAGTCCTAAAAAAAGAAATTGTCATTTTGTGTATGATCTCATGTATATGCATCTTAAAAAGGTGAAAGAACTGAAGTAGAATGAGGCTGGGGGAGAGGGAAAGGGTTGTTTGTTGGTCAAAGGGTAAAGAGTTCATTGAGGAGAGGAGGAACCAGTGTTGGTGATATACTGCACAGTAAGGTAACTATCGTTAATAGATTATAAGGCTGATGGTATAGCTAAATGCTAGACCTGTGCTTGGCATGCCTGAGGTCCCGGTTGAATTCCCTACACCATAAAATAATGAATTATACATTTCACAATTGGTAAGAGAGGATTCCTCTCTCCCATCCAGTATTCGGACTGAACTCAAGAGCCTCACACTTGCTAGGCAAACACCACCACTTGACATACGCCAAGTTCTTTTGCTTTTTTAGTTTCAGATATGGTCTTGCTTTGACTAGATTGACCTCAAACGGAGATCCTTCTACCTCACTTCCCTAGTAGCCGAGATTACAAGTTATAACTGGCGTAAGAGTGGATTTTGAATGTTCTCACCACAAACTATATGAGGCAATGGGATGTTAACTAGCCCAACTGAGTCAAAATATCACACTGAACACAATATATAATTGTCAATTAAAAGTTAGTGTTTTGTGTGTATGATACTGGGGACTGAACCCCAGGGTATGGCTCTAGGCAAGCACTGTAAAGATAAAACTTTTTGTCAAACAAGACTATAGTCTGAAAAAACATGCCCAAAGGTACAATCAGTGTGTCAAATCTCAGGGGCTGGATCCTAGACCTTAGAACTCTTGGTCAATCCACTCTTTTACTAACAACCCCAGCATTATACTCAAGTTACTGAAACTCAAGCAGCCCTTGCATGTGTTGGGGAAAGCTGAAGAGGCTAACCAGCAACTAAAACAACCTGCAGCACACCTTTTTCCACCCACAACCTACCTGTAGGCTTCTTCCCAGTTTGTCCCAATTACAATCTCAATGCACAAAAGAGGAACACCTAGTACATCAAGAATGCAAACTGTTTTCAATAATTTAGTAATGCTAGGCACCAGTACCTCACACCTGTAATCCTACTTCATGAGGCAGAAATCAGGAGGATCAGTTTGAAACCAGAAATGGCTGGTGGAGTGGATCAAGTGGTAGAACACCTGCTAGCAAGCCTGAGGCTGAGTTTAAACCCCAGTACCCAAAAAAAAAAAAAAAAAAAGGTCCTCAGTAGTAACGTATTCTTTTAAATACACTAACTTAAAATGCTTAATTAAGAGACACAATTGGCTGTTACTAGCCTGGCTATTTACCAGGAATGTAAAGAGGAAAGAGCCGAAGATTCAAATCCCACTGGGCCTCACTGATGCCTGAAACCAGAATCAACTTCTCGAACACCAACATTCTCTTCACTATTAGTTCTTTCCATCCATTCTCCTAGAAAATCTCCCCCAAAAGCTCCATCTACCTTCCTGGGACCCTACTTTCCTTTTATTAAGGACAAGGTCAATCACTAAGTCTTTTGAAGGACATGAGAACTTGACACTAAGAGTCCCCAAAACCTGTAGTCTTACAAAGAGACTCAACCTCTCTAGTTCTAGTAGTAGTGATCAGAGAACCACAACCAAACCTAGTAAAGTAGCAATAGTAAACATCTTTGAGAGACATTCATCAGGACTGACAAGAGTGGCTTAAGTAATAGTGGGGTCTACCTAGCCAGCACCAGTATTGTCCCCCACCCAAAAAAAAAAAAAAAAAAAAACAGGACATCCATCAGGCTACTCAAACCAAATAAATACAAATGAAAGAAACAGAAGCTTAGTGTAGCAGTACACTCTGTAACCCCAGCTATTCAGGGGGTGCAGACAGGAGGATCTCAAGTTTGAGGCCAGGCAGGTAAAGTTAGCAAGACCCTATCTTTGCATTGCTCTCCTGCCTTTCTTAGTAATGTGTAGTCTTGGGGGTCAAACACAGAAACGACTTTGTGCATGCTAGGCAAGTGATCTACCACCAACCTACATTCCCAGTCCTATCTTGAAAACCAAAATTTAAAAAGAAAAAAGGGGAAAGGTAGGGGGTCTGGAGCAAGTGGTATACTTGCCTAGTACATATCCAAGGCCCTGGATTCAATTCCCAGTACCACAAAAAAAAAAGAAAGGAAAGCAGCAGAGACAGGAACACTGTGGCACCGTTGGCTATTTGGTTCCAAAACCATTTTGAGTAGAAAACATGAATACTCTAATACTACTCAAATTTACCTATACCTTGTGTACAGTAGATCTGACTATAACTCGCAACTGTATGAAGCAGGTTTTAGGTTTAGGTTATTACTGTACAAAAATGACTGTTGTGAGGGCTGAGGCCATAGCTCAAGTTAGAATGCCTGCCCCTGTATAGCCACCAAAAAAAAAAAAAAAAAAAAAAGCATACATTAATACTTACCACAAGGCTAGCTCTTATTTCATGTTCTTTATCTAAAATTTTCCAGATACTGATTTTTCCCGTAACACCACTCAACATACCACCTTTCAACAAATTTATCACTCAAGTACATTATGTGCCCATTCTGCATGGAACACATTTTGAAAATCATTTGCTTTTTTTGGGAGACATATTCTCACAAAAGCAGGGCAGGTAAACACTCAGATCACACAATGATTTTTAAACACAGACAATAATGCAGGACTGACTGAAGTCTCTATGTTAAACCAAGCTGCATAATGCACAAACAGAAATTAAGATTTTGGTTTTACAAATTGAGGGGGGGATTCTTAATCAAAACCCATGTAGTAGTAAGCCCATGAATAGGGTGGGCTTACTGTACTGCCACATCATGGTCCCTCACCTGTACCAAGTCAAAACAGAACTAAGGATACTCCCAACTCCTGCAGGGAGAGGAAAGAGGCCGAACCGTTTAAATGGTTAACTCTTCCCTAGAACATACCTCAGCACAAACAGAGACACCTAACAGGCACATTCCTAGTATACACAAGGCTGAATCCAACTCCCAGCACCAGAAAAAAAAAGAGAACTTCAAAAAAGTAAAGCACATCCCCACTACAGGTCGCAAGCACGTTTGCAAGCTACAATTTTAATCACCCCCTTCTTAGTACTGAACATGGTGGTGACTATCTGTAACCCCAGCACTTGGGAGGCTGAGGTAGGATTTAGACGTTGAGACTAACCTGGACTATGTTGCAAGACCCCATCTCAAGAAAGAAGAAAAAAAAAAAAAAGGAAGAAAGAAACCTGCCACACCTACTCAAGGGTATCACTTTATCCTCTCCCCCACCCCCCCCAATCAAGATCACTTTACTTCAATTCCTGCTCCACAGGATGATCTCAGAACTATCCATATTCCTGACCAAAACATCAATCCTCTTGGGGCGGGGGGAGGAACAAATTTTAACTAAAACAATGGTTTTTAATGGGAACCAGAAGTATTGTTACAATTACATAGTCCAACACAAAAAAAAAAAAATCCATGGGTGATCAGGAATTGAAAGGTTACAAAATAACAAGGGTAACACTGGGTTCAGGAAGAAAAGCTGTTCCAGAACTTCAGGAGTCAGGCTAATACGGCCTCTCCCTGCGATCCTGTCTGTGCTCACCTCTGCAAAAAAAAAAAAAAAAAAATCCATTAGGTTTGAGTTGCCAGCCTCTCCATCCACCCCATATCCCATATCCCCACATCTACCCATCCCTCCTACCCAAACAAATGTCTTATCTCTGTTAAGTAGGGTAGATTTAAAGACTGGTTCTCCCTATTTCCTTTCCTCCCTCCTTCCCACCCTAATAAGGTTACCGTTATCAGCTCCTTCCTAAGAAACCACTTTCTCTTCCCAAAAAAAACTTTGTTATCTCATGACCTCTGTCCAATTGCTCTACTTTTTGATTTAGTTTTACTCACCTGGAATCCATCTTGCCAGGGCCAAAGCCACCTCTGTCCCCACCACCCCGGCCCCCTCGGAAGCCCCCTCGGTCCCCGCCTCGGCCTCGGTAGCCACCCCGATCATAGCCTCCTCTGCCACCACGACGATCATCTCCATAGTTACCCCCTAGGACAAAAGAAATTATACATCTTCAACTTCTTTATCTTCCCCTTACCCACCCTGCAGAAGGAAATTTTTGATTCTTACTACCAGCTCTGCCTTTCTTACCCATATGAGAGCCTCCTGGTCCCCCTCCGGGGCCATCTGGTTTAGGGGCCTTACACTGGTTGCATTCATTTCTCCAAGAGAAGTTCATGTTCTCACATGTACTAAGGGAGCAGAAGACAGTTAGTTTGGAAGAATAGGCAAGACCTACAACTCACAACAGACTCCAAAGGCTTACTTCTCAGAAAAAGAATCAAAACAAACTGTGACGACTACTGAACCTAGTCTGTTACCTTTTTCCCATTATGATCATCCTCCCTTCTCCATGGTTTTAGTTTCCTACAGCTCAACCAGTTTGAAAATAGAAAACTCTAGAATATATAGTAAACAATTTATATTGATCACCTATAGAAATAACCTACATTCAACACAATTCTGAGTAGCATGATGGAATCTGTTTCACTTCACCTTGCCAATACTTTGTCCAGCATAGCCACAGTGTATATACTATCCACTTAGTAAATCTCAGTTACCAGATCCAGTGTCTCAGTCAGTACTGAAGGATTTGTGTTCAAAAAATACATAGGGTTCTGTACTATCCAGTTTAAGGAATCCATTGGGGGTCTTGGAAAAACAGCATCCCCCAGGGGGAAGAGGGATTGCTATACACCAACCTTACTAAGTAAATTCTCAACTAAAATGTCCCTCAGTAAATGTGGTCTTGACATTCATTAGTTTAAAAAACACCCTCACAACTCTCCCCTAATATCAAAAGATAAATTTCACTCACGGATTAGGACACTTCCAGTCCCCTGCTCGCTGCTGTCCTCCACCACCACCACCTCCACTGGGGAATCCTCCTCGGCCACCACCACCACTGCCACCTCCTCCATAACCTCCACGGCCCATGGGGCCTAGTAAACATACAGGAATGAGTCAGTCTGGTTCCCTTTCAAGTGATCTTTCCGTGCAAACTCTTGTCATCACCTGCTGTCCCCATCACATCTTTATACCAGAAGTAGTAAGGAGCTCCTCACCTCCTCGCCCTCGTCCTCCACGACCATTGCCACCACCCCGATTGAAGTCTGCTCGGCGAGTTGCAAATGAGACCTTGATAGGATTCCCAGAGAATTCTTTACCTGAAGAAAATTGAGATTTAAATGGAGACTTTTAGGCTGGGGATGCAACTCAGTGACAATGTGCTGGCCTAAGATGTACCTGAATTCAGTTCCCAACTACACACACACAAAGACACTTGATTTAAGACTTATAGACCCAAAAACACTTGGCATAATTTAAGAGAAGACTGCCTTCCTGGAACAGTTTATGATCTAATGCCATAAGCAAAAATGAGACTACACGGAAATTCCAGAAAAAAGTAGTGCTAAAAGCCTCAAACTCTCAAAACATAGCCTGCTTAAGTACTTGCCTACCCCATCCCTACCTCCCCAAGATTTCTCATACGTACCATCAAACCAGTCAATAGCTGCTTTAGCAGAAGGTGGGTCATCAAAGGAGACCGTTGCCTCTCCCTTCAGCTTGCCCGTTTCCCTGTCTGTGTACAAGTTAATCATGGGCTGTCCAGTTTTCTTATTTGTCTAAAGAAAACAAAATGAGGGCTCAATTTTAGAAAACACAGTGCATTCATTCCTTGGTCTCTTTCTAAGATTCCCACCCCATCAACTTATAATTAAAGTCCCTTATACAAAAAGGCCTGCTATTACACATAATATATATACACTCTCCTATGTTCACTTTAAATCTCTAAAAGGCTGGGGATGTTACTAGGTAGTAGAGTGCTTGGCTAGCTATGTGCAAAGCCAAAGGTTCAATCCTCAGCGCGTATGCATGCGTACACACACACACATACAAATCTCCAGATTACTATTTTCTTTCACAGTACTGGTAATTAAACCCAAGGCCTCATACTTGCCTAGCACTTATACTATATCCCCACCCAATTTTAAACACAATACAAATGCTAAACAGTTGTAATACTGTATTGTTTGGGAGTGATGATGAGTCTGGACAAATTCAGTACAGATACATTTTTCCAAATACTTGATGTTGGCTCAATCTACCAATGTAGAACCTATGGACAGGGAAAGCTGACTATACCACCACCTTCCATCTTCCTCTTGAGGCTTATCATTCCCAAACTTCAGCTCCCCTCTTCTAGGTTAACTTCTTCCTATCTCTCATGTAACATAAATTAAAGCAGTCTACACCGTGTCTTTGAACATTCCTTTTACACTTTTATGTATGTATTTTCTTTCAGTAAATATTAACAGCTAACAGTCTTCAGTCAACAAATTAAGCTGGCAGTAACCATCAAGACTTGGTTTTTACTTCAGGCAACACTAACTTACTAACATGTGAAACCTAGAAATCTGCAATACTGACAGGAAGCACCCACTGTGCTCCACAAGTACCTTAATAATACCAATCTGCTTGAAGTAGTCAGCCACAGATTCAATTGTAACATTCTCGCCCAGGCCTTGCACAAAGATGGTGTTGTTGTCTGAATTATCCTGTTCTGCTTGTTGAACACAAAAAGAAATGAGAATTTGAAGAGCAAAGTGAGGGGAAAAAAGGTATAGGTGAAACAAGTGACATCAATCTAACATTAAAGATGTCAAGGGGAGACCTTTAAGGGACTTCAGTCAAGCGATCAGTATCATTTTGGATTCAAGTTAGATAAAGTAAATACACACACCTTCTATTTTAGTATCTGAGTAGTCATATACCAGCCATATTCATCAATTTTTGGTTTAACTACCCTTCAAATATATTAAATAAATCCCAGTACAGAAAACAGGGCTCACAAAGTCACAATGCACCCCCAGCACAACAGTAAAAAAAACTTAAAAAAGAAACCAGGGCTCAGGAGTTAATCACCCAAAATTATTAACAAGGTACACTAATGTTTACCAACTTAAATAAGAAACCTATTTTACATTAAAATTTAATATACTGAACACCTACACAATTAAAAATGATTCACTAAATGCTTCCCTTTACGTATTATACAATCAAGTCTTTCATTCACTGGTTTTGTTTACCAATTTGGACATGGTTTTGCATTTTTTAAAAAACAATGCTTTAACGAACAGCATTAACATGGGACTTGAAAACAGATTCTTAGGTTCATCCCTAGCAGGGAAAAGAACCCAGTTATTTAACAAATATTTCTAAAATCTATTCAACTGTAAACCACTGCTAATGGTAAGAACACCTCAATTCCTTTAATTTCTCTATCCCTGCTCTTTTTGGTTTGTTTCAAAGAACATCTAGGTTGTCTAGATACCGCTTTAGCCACTTTCATGCCAACAGCAGACTCACCAGAATCATGCCGTGATCCTTGATCCCGAGGGCCTTAAGTGACATGAAAAAAAAAAAAAGAACAAAAACAAAAACAAAAACAAAGAAAGGGTTGTTAGTCAACAGGAAAGGACAGCCAAGGAAAAAAATTAACATCAAATAAATTCCTGCAAGATATCAGGTAAGTACTCCCAGCCTCACTCCAAACCCTGTCCTGGACCTGCCCCAGAGAAGAAAATCCTAGGCAGGTCTGGGGGAGACACAGGTTCCTTTCTTAAAGATCTGTAACCTTTGAGCCCCCACAGGGAAACCCACACTTCAGAAAATGCTGCCTCCCCCAGCTCTAGGCTGGGAAATGTCCTCAGCACAGATGGTAGGGATGGGGATGACCCATTTAAGTTAACAAACCAACTATAGCTTGGCCCTGTTCTCTCATCCCAGAGAGAAATGGGCTCACCACCAGCAATAGTGATGCGAATCCATCCAGTTTCTCCAAGACTTTTTAGCACCAAAGACCACTTATCCCTTGTAGAACAATTTTTAATTTCATCTTTAGAAACCATTCTTAAAACCATGATTAAGTTTTCCCCAAAGCCACATAAAAAATAAAAAACATACATA